CTGAGTGTGACTGTCTGTCAGTTCCTGCGCCGAATCCCGTTCTCCTGTCTTCAGACCCTGTCTCTCCCTCGGTCCCGGTGCCCTGGCTAGGGCCGGTCCGCGGCAATCATGAGAAAAACATCTTACATCCAAAGGAAGAGTGCAGCTAGCAACTGAGTTACAAGCATAGATTCCGAAGATACTGGAATGTTTTGCAGTTATAGTCAAAGCGATAAAAAGAAAATAACTATTGACTAACAGTTATACATATATCAAAGATAGACTCTGTAAGTTAAACATTTCCAGAAAAACAAAAAATGAGGAAATTAATTGATAATGGGTTAATGTTAGCAGCAGTCACTTGAGCTGCAGAGGAATAGCAGCTAGTGATAATTTGGATGCATAGTGATAAAAAAAGATGCATAGAGATAAAAAATGGTAAAAATGTGGATAAATACAAAAGGTATATATATGTGTGTATTTATACATACACATACATGTACACACACTATTCAAATGTGCCCAATAAACAGAAATATATAAATAATAAAACAAAGCACAAAGAAACAGGGAAAATGACGCAAAACTGGTGCTGTTTTGATATTTTATATGTTGTAAAGCAGTATTAATTTGAAGTAGGTTGTGATAAATTAGAAATGCACATCGTTACCCCTGAACAATTGCCAAAAACGTCAAAGAAATAAAGCTTGGTGTCTAGAATCTGAGAGAGGAAGTTATTTTTTACTATGGTAAATCAGGGACTCTGAAAACTTACAAATACCAATAACTTATACTCTTAATTAGCCCCAGTTTTCCAGGATAAATGAAACTTCCTCAGAAGAATTCAACAAGCCAATGGTGTACACTGGCCAGGAACCTTATCCTGGTGGTTTGAAAAGTAAGGTTGACTTTCTTTAGCAAACGTGGTATCTTTCCTTATAGTTAATCTTTTTTGGGGGGATCTATAGATTTGAGGAGGTTAATTAAGCCCATTCCTTTACCTGATACAAAGGAAAGCCCGCTATCAGGCAGGCACGTTTGTTCCCCTGGCTCAATAC